TATTTTCCGATATGTAGCCAAAAAACGACGTTCTGTAGAACTAGAAAAAAATGTTTTTCACCATATTTCAAAAAAGGTCGCCTGAAGGCCGGAGAAGGTGAACAGCACCTCGCAAATAGGGCCACGAAGGACACCCTGGAGGCCAAAAAGGCGACCGAGAGGCAGGGGAAGGCTAGCCAGGCTGCAGGGACTCATCAGACATGGCAATCCGGGTAAAATGACAGAGTGTCGACTACTGGGCCAGGCAGTGTCGACTACTGGGCCAATGAACATTGTTTTTTGGTTTATTTCCATTTTTGACCCATGAGGCATAAAGTTTGATCCTTCCACTACACCCCCGAAATTTTTCCTTGACGCTACCGTACACCCACGCTCTGTTGTAGGCAATTTTGAAAAGCCTTGCTCTTAAACTGTCGACTACTGGGCCCCTTACCCTACTTGACGACCGTGGCAAGTTGATAGTTACCTCTTGACATGATTTTTCTTATTTTCAATAAAATTTTGATGTCAACCTTTCACTTTCTTAACACACAATACAAGGTGGATGTACGCCAGACCACGTCTCGCGTAACAGGCTTCGCGATACCTCACGAAACACTGTTACGCTACGACGCGCCTGGCATGCATCTACCTTGGCCTGCGGCGCTGACACCCGAGTCAGGTAGTGCAAAAATGTGCACAAAGATACGGGCCTCCGGCCCGTCAACGCCCGTCACTTCGACTTATCATTAGAGGATAGCGAAAAAAAAAGGATTTGAGATATTGATATGGCGGGTATGCGAAAAAGTTGTCTTTTTAGATGTAGAATCCAGTGCAATTTTTTATTTTGAGATCGGACAACATTTTCCGATCGCGCAACGAGTTCAAAGTTATGCATTCGCTCTTATGGGAAATATTGTCAAAAACCATGAAAAAATGAAAATCGAAAATTTGGGCTTTGTATGTGATGTTTTTTGAAAATCTGTGTTCATAAATGCAATCTACGCCATAAAAGGCATCCACTGATGTGTCACACTTAATATTATAGTCAGCGGTTCAGTCCCGGCCAGGTATCAATTTAAGCCCAAATTGCATCAAATTGCACAAAAGTCATGAAAGTATGCAGCCTACACCGCCTAAACCATGGGTTGCAATATCAAGTGTGATACATCGCTAGATGTAGGAAACCATAAAAAAATATTTTTTAAAAAATGTCATTTTTAGGACCTGTCGTTTTCGATTTTTTAAAAATCCAATTTTTGAGCTAGAATGCTCATCTTCGAACTCGATCTGTCTTTTTATGATACAAAACGACCCTGAAAATCCCAGGTCGCTCGCTCAATTCGTTTTCGAGTTTTCGTGCGGACAGATACACAGACACATAGACACACAGACACACAGACAGACAGACAGAAAAAGTTTTTTCCGACCAGACGGAGTAATAGGCTTCGCTAATCGCTCAGCCAAAAATATGTAACACACAATATAAAATTTTTAAATTAATTTTAAATCTTGTAGTGTTTACAAATTCCTATAAGCTATTACAAGATTTTGTATCACCGATAAAAATTGCTGTATCACAGTGACCGGATACAGGAAACTGCAAATTTGTAATTTTTCTTAGAGTGTATCGATCGAATTGTTGTATGCCCTGGAACTCCATTCACCAAACAAATTCTGTATGACTCCTTTGTCATACATAGCGATTTCAAGAGTAGGGCAGTGTTATCAAGGCACTTTCCACTGATAAGATTGTTTGAATCACTATCAAAAGGGATTGTCGCGAACGCTGGGCAGTAGATGTTGTGGACACTATCGAGAACCGCAATCGACGTCTTGACAGGTTTTGCTTGGGGGTTCGAAATACAGCTATAAGGTGGGTAGAAACGCCAGTGTAAACGTTTTTTACAGTATATCTATGAAACCAGCAAGTTTGTGGACCGATGGTCTCGGCTGTTAGCCTGTTCATCGTCTATCGAGCTGTACCGTACTCTAGTGACACAAAACTGTTGCACATAGTATAATTTATTTTTAATCGGCCAATTATTGTGACGATAACGAAAATCCAAAAATGATTGCTTTTCCTCAGTGAGACTGTCGCCGCTGTATGAAATTTAAACTAACTACCACTCTTTCATCTACCATTCTGTTATAAACTAGGTAGATGTACGCCAGACCACGTCTCGCGTAACAGGCTTCGAGATATCTCACGAAACACTGTTACGCTGCGACGCGCCTGGCATACATCTACAGGCCTGCGGCGCTGACACCGAAGTTGGGCAAAAGGACCGGTCATAAATAGGCCTTCGGCCCCTAAAGTCACAAATTTTGTGCCTCAGGGTTTTACTTTGACGAGTTACCCCACCGGAGACCATACAATATCTGAGAAAAACCATTAAAATGTTTCGAGGTGATTTTCGTGTGAAGAACGCCCTCTGGCGCCCAGACGGTTAGAGATAGAGACAAACAGACAAAATTTTGGTCCAAAGGGTTCTAATTTGACGAGTTCCTTCTAAGAAAGATGTTAAAAAAAAGGTTTTTAATAGATATGTTTTGGGCTCTTTGCTTTTGCTTTTTTTGACACGTCAATTTTTGAGCCAGAGGGCTCAAAATCAATACAGTTCTTCCTTTTTATGATACAAAGGTACAGTAAAAATTTGAGCCTTCTACCTCAAACCGATCTCGAGTTATCGTGCGAACAGACAGAGAGACAAACAAACAGACAGACGCGAAACTTTTTGATCATCACTGGAGTAATAGGCTTCGCTACCGCTCAGCCAAAAAAAAATCTAAATCAAGAATCTATCTTGAAAGCAGATGATACAAATTTGAGAATAGGTCTGTTTCTAATCTTCTCTCATATTTAGGTGTCATTTGTTTATGGCTGCTTGTTGTACTTGCAATTTTGTAATTCGGCGGACTAGCGGCGTTGATGAGCTAAGGGTGGGGCAGATCAGAGCGGCCGCCGTTGGTGGCTTAGTATTGTCTGGTACTGTTGTACAGAGACGGGGCCTGCCCCCTGCCCTGACTTGCCTCACGCAGTATTGTTGGGTATAGAATGGGGCCTGAAGCGCGACACTCGGACAGTCACTCACTGATTCCCCTAGCGCCAAATAAATTGTTTTCTGGTCTCCGCTTGGTTCTCTGTCCTTATCGAGAGTAAAAGCAAGCTGACACCTTAAAGTTACTTATATATTCTTCATGTTTAGTCAAAAGGTTTTTAAGGTATCATCTGCTAAAAATCTGTAGCACAAAACTGTCGTACGACTGTCGGACAATAGAAAAGAATACTATCGGTGCGACTTACGAAATGAGAAAAATGATATTCTGTAGCAATATAATCTTTTTACTCGAAACGACAATCTTCATCGGCCAGCTATAGGGTACTCCGGGGCTCGGCTAGACCGGAAGGAGAAGAACAAAAATCGTCGGGCCGGTCGGGCGCGGGGAGGAGCGGGGCAGGGTGGGGGCAGTACCCCGCTCCTCCCCGCGCCCGACCGGCCCGACGATTTTTGTTCTTCTCCTTCCGGTCTAGTCAAGCCCCGGAGTACCCTATTATAATGCAAACGAAAAACCACAGTTGTGGATTCGTCCAGCTATCGATAAACACACCACAGAATGGTAGATAGTTTACATTTGATAGACCGGCGACAATCGTCTGACAGAGAAAAACCCATCACTTTTGGATTTTCGTTATGCACTGTTAAAGTCTTACGAAGAAAAATGCCAAATTCTTTGTAATACAAAAGATTCGGACGCTTCGTAGGGAGCAAATCCTTCGTAGGTACGAAGCATTTGGCATTTTGCTTCGTAAGACTTTAACTGTGTGGCCACAATAATTGGCCGATGAAAAAAAAAGTATACCATGTGTGAGTGTAGTTCTGCTC